TCCTTGCATGGAATTACTACTGAAATAAAAGTGGCTGGCATTCAAACCAACCACAAACTCAATTAGAAACAAGCTTTGTTGGTTAAAGGATCAATCCTGTGGAGCCTTTAAAACAAAGCAATTTAGTTTATCTAATACCCTGATTGCAATGATTGCTAGGTCAAAGTAGTAGGACAGGGGCAGTCAGATTAGCCGAGCATAAAAACCTAGCAGCAAAATCTAGATTGGTTGACCCAGATTAGATAGCAAGAAATCTAGAGAATTAGATGACTTTTTTAAAATCTAATGTCACAGGGTGAATGGAGGGAGAGATTGATAACAGTAGCCTTGTTTATCGAATCAACTGTCCCAGATATCTGGAAAATATTTCTACCCCCACGACGACAAATAGGAGAAAACAAAGAAAACCATACAACTCAAGTTTCAAAATCGTGTGATTATAATTGATGAAATGATTATGAACACGAATAAATTGTGTTCGAAACTTTGTCATTCAGTAAATAATACTGTTTCACTCACTGTGTGATAGATACATCTAATAAACAAACTAATACGTAATTACTTACTACCACAATGCTCAAGTTTCACACATATAATAATGTGGAATAGTTAAACTAAGGAACTTATTGAAATTCATTTCATCAAAGCATAAATTTCACGTAAAAATAAGTCAAATAAATGAGATTTTGTTTCTTAATTTCTCAACGTTTGAAATAGCTTAAAATAGTGTCTTGAAATCGTTATAGTGTTTGACGAGTCCCAATGATTCAATTAAGAGATGAGTTAGGCAATTGTTTGGGGCAGACAAAAACAAATAAACGAAACAAAATTGACAAATTTATAAAAAAGATTATGGTGAAATGCCGCAAAACTACGACTGCTACTACTGTGACAACAGAAGACAAGGGTGGGCAACAGATCGTTTTATTAAGGAAATCCACACGCATTTATATATATTACCTATACATTATTATAGCTTATTCAAGTAGACGAACACAGTCTTCTGATTGGTTGTTTCTCGGAAGTTAAGCAGACAAGCACAGGCTTCTGATTGGTTGTTTCGGGTAACCTCAACAAAAACGGAGCCATCTATCTGAAAATCGTATTTGCCCACGTTTAAGTCTGCTGTGATTGGTTGTTGAGTCAGCCTTGTTCATATTTTCTCAGCGGCCAATATTGGTGACCTAGACATTGACGTAGACTGATGTCTACCAATTGGCTAGCAGCCTGCTCTCACCACACTACTAGCATCACTACACTAGAAATTTATTTAAATTCTATTTAAGAATTACTTATAATTCTCAATTGCATGCATAGAAATGAAATCAACTGAGCGAAGTGAATTCATCATTGGCAAAAGGGGCGGGGGGAGGGGAAGATTCCTACTAACTAACTATATACAATCTGTTTTTCATGAGCCAAAAGAGAGAAGATTTTCTAGACTTAATTTAAATTGCATTACTAATCAAATATATATATATATTTAACGCAGGAAATGAATGAATCAACGAATTAGGAAAAAAGGAAAATTACTAAAATTTTAAAAAAGCAGCAAATAATTGTCGGCGCAAAAAAATAAAACAGCAGAAGAAAAATTTACTAGATTTCCTGAGCTCTGTCTGATTATTGCCAAATAAATCATGTGATCCGTAATGACAAAATAGGGTTTATGTCTTTTCATAAAAGGTTGTCTGTCTTTCTTCGACTACTTTTCATCTCTTTGTCTTGCTCTCTGTGTGTGTGTGTTGTCGATTCCTTCAAAATTTCATGATTGTTACTATTATTGACCGATTCTTCTATAACTACTCTCTAATTTATTTTTCAGGTGAGAGTTTAAGTCACCACTCAACCTTAGATTGTTAACACTAACCAGTCTTCACTACACCTAAATATGAACTAATAATATTAATAACAGTCATATTCAATTAATTAATATTTATTTATGAAATGCGAGACAGAAAATGACATTCCTAATGAGAATTATTAGTATCATTATTATTTCCATTGGGTTACAACTGGAACACTGACGAGGATATCAAAGCAGCGAGGATCGGAAAAGCAAGACAAGCTTTCATTACTCTTAAGTCTGTATGGAAGTCAGCAGCACTCAGCATGAAAAATGATATCTGGATTTTCAACTCCAATGTGAAGTCAATGCTACTCACCATACGGATCAGAGACTTGGTGCGTCATAAAGAGCGTCTCAAACAAACTACAGAGCCTCATCAATAGCTGTCTCCGCTGAGTACTCAAGATCAGATGGCCAGAAAAGATCAGCAACAGCGAGGGATCTCTGGCAATGAGCGAACCAACCAGGAACCAACCGATTGTGAAACAAATCTGCAGGAGGAAATGGAGATGGATTGGCCATACTCTGAGGAAGCCATCAAGTGACATCACTAGACAGGCTATTGCTCGAGTGGAACCCGAAAGGGAAGCGGCTAGTTGGTCGTCAGTGAAAGGGTGACTTGGAGGAGGTCATTTGAAGAGGAGATGAAAGAATGTGGACAGACTTGGAGCAGGATGAAAACGTTGGGAGAGAGTCGAGAGCAATGGAGACGTGGGGCTGAAGCTCTATGTTCCTCTAGGAATTAAAGGAAATCATAATAATAATCCAGTTGGAACACAGGACATCAGCAGCAGCAGCACATTCTCATGTTGTCCTCTTTTCTTCAGTCCTCTTTAGCTGGCGGCCTCACAGCTGACTATAAGCAACCTTCATTTGCTTCCCATGTGACCTCCTTCTCCATGTTATTCATGAAACCATGCCCAACTTACTGCCTCCTATTTGGGGTTCAAGTGACCGATTATCTGGCATGCGACTGTGTCCTATCTATTCCTATTTCCATTTGGTATATATTTCTTGAGCAATAGGTGTTTGGTTGGCTGGTTCAGTCCCACAGTTTCTTGTTGCTGATTTCTTATTCTTGTCGACAGTCTAATCTTTAATATGGGGCTAGTGAAGGCGCAGCTGTTGATAAAACTCCTGGGGACGTCGGCCTCTTGAAAACGCTGTCAACGATGCGCAGTACAAGTTTCTGATCAATATAGAAGCACCAAATTGGCTTAACATTGGTGCACAAAATCAGAATTTTTTGTTCTTTATGCTGAGTGCAGAAGTTTTAAACACTGATTTCAGTGTGTGTGTGTGTGTGTGTGTCAGGGTGTGCATTACCTTTCCTATCCTGGTTTTGATACCTTCATCCATCCTGTCACCTGTAGCTGAAACGATGCTACCTATATTAGTGAAAAAAGTGACTTCAATTTGAAAATTTCCCCCGTTGATAGCGATTTGAGCTTGTTGATATTGGCCGCTGGGTATTTTCATTAGCTCCGTCTTCTTTATTCTCACTTGTCTTAGCTGCCGCCTCTGTCAACTTGTTGATTTTCACCTGTAAGTCATCGAATTTTAGTGAATAAAAAATTAATCTGGACGAAGAATATGCTTTTCAATGGATACTTCTCTTCTGGTTCTTACAGTTATAAAAAAGAATATTTGTTGTCGTTACAATAATGGCCAGTTACATGATGACGGATACATTTTTACGTAGAATAATGCGATGACAAAGTAAATAATATTTGTGTGACAAAATATTGTAAATCTGGAGACACTGGTGGATATCAGCCATGAATTCATACAATGTGGAACTCTTCAGTAGTGCCTACCCAGGAGCCTACCAGCGATGGAACCCGGATGGAATCTTCAGATTACTACACCAAGCCTGTTGGCCATTCAGCTACTTGGACCGGATTTTATTATTTTGTCTTTATTATTGTTGCCTTCGGTTCCTATTGGAACATAGGGCTTCAGCTACACGTCTCCACTTGCCACTTCTGTCTTCCTTCTGCTGTACTTTTCTTTTCACCTGCATCCATGTTAGTCCATACTCTTTCAACTCCTCCCTCTTCACACCATCTCCTCCATGTCACCCTTCCACTGACGTCCAACTCGCCACGTGCTTCCCTTTCGGCCTGGTTCCACTCGAGCGATGGCCTGACGCGCGTGCGAAGTCACCCAGCGGCCTCCTCAGCGATCAGCGAGTGTCCAATCCATCCATCTCCACTTTCTCCTGCATATTTATTGGTTGGCGATTGGTTCCTGTTTTGTTTGTTCCCAGCCATAGTTTCTTGTTGGTGATTGTTTCCGGCCCGGCCATCTGATCTTCAGTATAGAGACAGCGAAGACAGTTGTTGGTTGATAAAGGTCCGCATGCAACAGGCTGTTGGAAATATTCTTTGTGTCCCGCTCGCCAAGTTTCTGATCCGTATAGAAGAACTCACTTACTTGACGTTGTTTGTATTGAAGATCCAACCAAATTTTGTTGTTGATTCTGGCTGAATGACGAAGATTTTTGCGGATTGGTTTCAGTTGGTTGATGAATGTGTTTTTCGCCTTTCTCCTGTAGTTGAGACAGTACTCTTAGATAAGTGGATGAAGTAACCTCTTTCAAATCCCTCCCATTGATGGTGATTGGCACAGAATGTTGTTGTTGCTGTTGTCGTTGTTGTTGGTTGGTTATTTTCATAACCTCCGTCTTTTTCACGTATGTTCACCTGGAGTCCTGTTTTCGCCAGCTGCTTCTTCCACCAGTTTGTCGGTCGGTTGGTTTTCGCTTGTAAGTCTTCGATTTTTTGTGATATCAAACATAAATCATCCGCGAATTTTGACAAGCCGTGATTTTTAGCCTCTTTGTGAAGTTTGTGAACTGTCTTTAGGACTCAATTATCCGGAACAGATATCTCATGTACCAGGCTTGTTATGCGCTGGCGTCTGATAGAGAGAAAAAGAGCTAATGATACTACTACCCAGTTGTCCAGGATGAATTTGGTAGAACCGCATGAAATCGAATCTTGGACATACTGTAGGAAACTTGAGTATTTAAGCCAATGAATCACACATTTACAACGATATCTAATTTCATATGATTGAAATATTCTATTGATGTGTATTTGTATTTGTATTTCGATTTCTTTTTCTTCCTGTTTGTTCTTTCCTAAAGATATTAACTAGCGAAGATTGGAATGAAGCAATGTATAATGGAATTCGTTCATATTCAAATAGTCGTGTTGGTATAATGGTCTGCTTGTATTATGTTATACTGTTTATTTGTGGAAACTGTATCCTTTGCTCTATTTATTATTCAACTATCATTACCCGTTTTGATTGGAATTTTTTTTTTACTTTAAGTAATTTATAGTATGTATTTGTAAAATTTCACACGTTAGCCACAAATATCTCATTGATTACTTCTCATCAAAGCTATACAGTTAAATAGTGTTTTCAGAAAGGCGCCATGAAAAACACCGATAGAAGTCCACAGTACGCACTCATCACCAAGGTTTGAACTGAGAACCTTCCGGTGACAAGGCGAGTGAACTCGTATACTATTCAGCCATCACTTATACCCGATTCAATGGCCGGTGTATGAATTCTAACTTCTACCGAGTCGTGATTTAGCGTGACTGGCACCAAAAAGTGTCATCAGTGGGACAACCATCCTCACACGTGACTGGACGGATCTCACTGCCGATGATTCCCAAAATAGGACGGAGCAAACAGTACTTCCTGGTTTTCAAAGCTTCTCTAACTGATATAAATCCTTGTAAAAACCAAACTATTCCTTACAATTTAACTTTAGAAAATTAATCTGATGCTTGCTAATGACTCGATACAGGACGGAGTTTCCTGGAGTTCTAGTGAAAAGTCGTAACTAGTAAGATCCATCCAGTCATGTGTGAGGATAGACGTCCCACCGATGACATTGGTTCGGGTCGCACTAAATCACGAGTTGGTATGAGTTAGAATTCAATCCTGGTGGCTGAATGGTCTATGTGCTCGCTGGCCTTGTAGCCGGAAGGTCCTGTCTAAGTTCGAAATTTGGTGGTAGGTGTGCGTACTGTGGATGATTGTCAAACTAGTGGGATGAAACAGCTGGCTGTCCAGTACTCCCTGGTTTTCAAAGTATTATTACATATTAAACTGTTTATCATGGAGGAAATTGGTAAACTCTAGAACTTGAGCAGGTACTCATACGCAATCTAAAGAACATTAAATGATGAATATGATTCATAAATGATTGCATGGAGGAATTCATCATGAGCTGACATTGGTTAGAGAACCATTGGAAAACCTAGGGGTACTGGACAGCTGTTTCGTTTTAGTTTGGGACTCTTCAGCATTACGCACTCACTGGGGTTCAAACTCAGGACCTTGTGGTCACAAGAGGAGCTCGCAGACCATTGTGCCACTGGGACCCGATCCAATGGTTCTTGAATTCTAACTTCTGCCAGTTCGCGACATAACGCGACCACTTCACAACGTCTTCTTCGATAAGTTACTGCTCCATCTTTGACCTCCTTTACCCTACTGGTCAAGGCTTCCCACTAGAACCGCAGGTTAACTGCCTGAATGGGGCCAGTCACTAGTGAGCATCAGAATAATATTTCAAGTATTGGTTTTGTAGGGATTTTGTTTGATTGCATGGAGGATTTCATCATGAGCTGACATCACTTAGAGAACCGCTGGACAGCTGTTTCTTCCTAGTTTGGGGCTGTCTAGCAATACGCACCCACCGTCATATAAAACTGTAAGAATTCAAATAAATTCGCTGTATTTTAAAGCCCCAGCGTTGAAGATGTTATCTCGAAGAACCACGGAGGCTACACAACTCAGTCAAACAGTACAGGGAGCAGAACCAAACCAAAATCATCCACAATATATGCGTAGATCATATTTTAAAGTTAAGAGTCGGAAAATAAAGAAAGCGGAAGAAGCAGAAGAATAGACCGAATGAATACGGATCACAACAAAATTAGTCTACATGCAGAAAAGCGTTTAAGGTATTGGAAATACCGCTTCTCTATATACATAGTTCAATGGATTTCAATCTGTTTTTGGATGATATAAGCATAAAAGGTGTGCACTGTGGTACAGCATAATTCCATTGTGGGTAAAATTTATTTTGATAAACATTCACAGTGTTTGTCATACAGTAATATTTACTGATACGATCACATTTCAAGCACAATTTATTGCCACTCATAATTACTACTCAGATAACCTTCTAACTTCGTTTATATAATTCCATTATTTCCCATCGCTTGACTTGACTGATACAAGTCTTTTCCATTTTTTTCTAAGTTACTGATCTTCTCGGGGTCAACCATTCTTACCTTAGCTAAATTCTTATGTTCCGACAATCTGACAACCCTCGACCTAGTAGTTCAACCTATGCAGTTGACTTGACTCACAGTCATTGCATGGTATTTTGTAAATTATATTATTTTGTCTAATTGGGTCGGCCGAGTCTTTTAACCTACAGAGCTTGTCCTATCTGAGTGAGTTTGTGGGTTTAAATGACACTATAGTTCCTGCTTTATTAATAATCCTACATGGGGAGGGTCTCAGATGTCCCCCTCCTTATATGGCATAACAGCGGATGACTTATATTCTCTCTTATTTACGTTATCATTACTAATTTCACAATTATTTTTACTTTGCAAGAGCGTTCAGTGTAGACAGAAGATGAAGTTGGGATTTTCTGTGACCTGTTAGTGACATCATTTCATTGTATAGCTGTAATGTGAATATACAGAAACATTACTCTTTGTTCACATATGTTTATAGAAACATTTATATCACATAGATATTTTCCATATTTCAGAGTATACCTCTAAATTTAGCTGTAGGAAAAAAGAGGATAGCATTAGTATTCTAAATTGTCCTTTTGATATTCGTCGGTCTAATATTTATTATTATTATTCCCCTCTGGAACATACGGCTTCAATAGCAAACCCTCAATTTCAACCTGTTCTCTACAGTCACTTTTAGTCAACTCCACAATTATCCAAACGGTTTCATCTCCTTCTGACACGATCTTACCAGTGTCACTATCGAACGCCAGACTCTTCATTTCACACAAGTTGGCCTGGTGCGTGATATCAACTCAAAGATCCCCACCCCCCAGAGTGTGTCCTAATTCATCTACAATGTTTGTAGATAAAACAATGCTGATGAGAATAGATACGGTTCCTCGTTTTGTAAATAAATTACAATGCAAAGCTTGAGTACTTCATTCATTGCATTGTTTGCAATTATTGTCATCTTCCAATACTCGGAATAATGGAGAATAATGGCTTATCAGTATGTCTCGTGTTCAACACCTTCTACTTCTCCTCGTTTAGCTTGAACATCTGAATGGTATAATGAGCCAGTGACATTTTCTCATGTATGGAATCTGTGTTCTGGGTAAATGGTCCTGAAACATTCATGGTATGTAGCGACCAAAACTGACTCGTTGTGGTCTTAACTCACTGAAGTGATCTCTGAATTCCACGGTGTATAGCTGTATAAAATGTCCTCGAGAGTCACGCTCATTCAAAAACGCTTCAAAGACGGTAAAATGATGATGATTCCTCGATAAATCTGTGCGTGGTTTTATTTCAATAATAGTAACATCAAGAATTCAACATTGTGGTTAGCCAGCGATGCAGAATAGGTAATTATCCAATTACAAAACGAGTACTTAGTATCAAGTAGATAAATAAATTCTGTCTAAAAGTATCCCACACACATTCAAAACAATTCTCACAGCCAGTCTAAGGTCAGAAGTACCTTCATTCACTCAAACTAAAAGCAATACATTATCAATGTATCGCAAAAACACAAAGCGAAGTAATAAAACTGGAGAATTAACAGGAACAAAGACAAATATAATAAGGATCAAGTCAACATATGAACGGCGAAAATCAGAACAATGATATATAGTCTAGAGGGGAAGAACAGATTATAATTATAAAGTTAGCTGAAACATCTATATAAGTGTAAATATTGCGATTAGATCGTTTAAGAGAAGTTTTCCAAATAATTTTCCCCTTATACTAGAGATGTATGGCCTTTCTTCATTTCTTGTCGCATATTCAATTCACTTTAGCATTGCAACAACACTCTACCCGAGTTGTTGTTGTTGTTGGCTTTCTCCACAGCAGCTTATATGTGAGATTTTAAGCTGTATACTACCAAACAGTCGAATCCCTACAAATCAATAATTGAATGCCAATGCAATGCTCACTAGCGACCGACCCTATTCAGCTAGGTAGTTAACTGGCTTCTCTAGTGGGATGTCGTGACCAGTAGCCTGCAGCAGGTCAGGTGTGAGGATGAATAGTCGCCGAAGACATTAGTTAGCGGTTGTGCTGTATAGTGAATTGCTAGAATTTAGGACATTGGATGGTTTAATGGTCTATGAGCTCATCTTGTAACCAGAAGTTCCTAGGTACGAACCCCGGACGGTGAGTGCCTAGTGGTGATGAGTCTCAGACTAGAATGGAACAGCTGTCCAGTACTCCCTACAGGTGTTCCAATGAATTCTCTAACCAATGTCAGCTCATGATGAAATCCTATAACCAATAAATCAAAATCCCTACAAACCAATACTTGATCAATACTTGTATTTATTGTTCAGTGTATGTTTCACTGATTAATTAAACAGTGAACTTTTAATTCTGTGAACATTTTTCAGGCTAACTGATGAAAATCATTAATTAAGAAAGGATTATTTTGAAAAACAAACATAAATTTGACTACTACTCAGTTGACGGTTGACAATATCAATATATATTCATTGGATAGTGTTAGGTCAAGATGAAGAAACTATGGTGTAATGCAAATGAGGAAGAGGTCATCAATAAATTAGAAGGAATGGTCAAATAGTAAAATAGTAAAATTTTTGAATTAATGAATGTTCAAACCACTATCACTATAAAAAGAATTACTACTACTACTATTATTATTATTATTATAACCAAAAAAGACGTTACTGTTTTATTTTAATTGTAATTATAAAAATTTAAAACGGTGAACTTTAAAAAGATTTTAATCTAATTCATCTTAAAAATTTGCCATCGATTCATCATTATTTGATTGTATAATGCTCCGATTCTCTGTTGAGAAAGTTGACTTCTAGCACGGAGGCTTTGATGATGATGATGACGATCATATGTTTAGGTCTTCCGTGGTGTTGTTTATTTGATGGTAGTAGGCAGTGGATTCAAAAGGGTCGTGTTTCGTCTCAATGAAGGCTCGTCAGCTGGATATATCAAGTATCTTGTGTGGATGGTAGTATCACCATTATTATATCCACTGCTGTGGCTTGACTTGAGGCAGTGAAAAATAATACTGGTAGCACAACAGGGAACGGCTTTTGCCTAGTGGATAAAGCTCTAGTGTTTGGAACAGTGGCTGTGGGGTTCGATCCTCAGCAGGAGCACCGTGGGATATATCCAGACGACGACTTTGAAATGAGAAAAAAACATTCACACTAGATTTCATTGTTAGTCGCCACCAATCAAATACATTACTCTTAAAAAATCACGGAGAAGATTTTTAGCTCAGGTGGATGATTTTGAATTAGTTGTGTTCCTGTGAGCTGATTCATTGAATTACGAATCTTTCGTCATCCTTTTAGACAACATCTTCAGCATGGGTGTAAGTGTGGAATGAACGCATTTGAAGTCTCTATGTGAATAAGATAACTGTGCCTCCTAGCTACCATTGTCGCGACTGGTTGTTGATTTACATCTCTGTTGATCATTTTTGTGGACATGAAATTTGACCTTTATATATGTCCAAACCAAGTTCACTTTTAACAGTTTGAAACAATTTGAGCATTGGGTACATGATATTCATTACAGTAAAGGTTTTTGTATTTCCCAATGAATGAAAAACAAAACGATATTATTTTTACTGACATTTCGCTATTTAATGCTAATAGCTTTATCAAAGTATTATTAAACTGGAATTTACAAAATCCACTCAGCATATATAACAAAGAGTTAAGGGGTGAGAAAAATAGACTACCTAGGTCAAGCTAAAGGGGCATATTGAAAGTCAAAATAACAATGAAGATCACTAAACCAAATAACAAAGGTAATAGTGCGTTATGTTATAGTATCAAAACAAAGTTTACTAACTTGATCGTCGTTTGTCAGTCTGGGGCCATTTTTTTATTGTCAAGCAAGTTCACTATGCAAACATACACTAATTTTATAATGTCACACTGATCAAATCCAACAATCTACACTTGGTTTTGTTATCTTTACCAACTGACCAACTTGACAACAAAAAAACGAGAGCTTTATCCACTAGGCAAAAGCCGTTCCCTGTTGTGCTACCAGTATTATTTTTCACTGCCTCAAGTCAAGCCACAGCAGTGGATATAATAATGGTGATACTACCATCCACACAAGATACTTGATATATCCAGCTGACGAGCCTTCATTGAGACGAAACACGACCCTTTTGAATCCACTGCCTACTACCATCAAATAAACAACACCACGGAAGACCTAAACATATGATCGTCATCATCATCATCAAAGCCTCCGTGCTAGAAGTCAACTTTCTCAACAGAGAATCGGAGCATTATACAATCAAATAATGATGAATCGATGGCAAATTTTTAAGATGAATTAGATTAAAATCTTTTTAAAGTTCACCGTTTTAAATTTTTATAATTACAATTAAAATAAAACAGTAACGTCTTTTTTGGTTATAATAATAATAATAATAATAGTAGTAGTAATTCTTTTTATAGTGATAGTGGTTTGAACATTCATTAATTCAAAAATTTTACTATTTTACTATTTGACCATTCCTTCTAATTTATTGATGACCTCTTCCTCATTTGCATTACACCATAGTTTCTTCATCTTGACCTAACACTATCCAATGAATATATATTGATATTGTCAACCGTCAACTGAGTAGTAGTCAAATTTATGTTTGTTTTTCAAAATAATGCTTCCTTAATTAATGATTTTCATCAGTTAGCCTGAAAAATGTTCACAGAATTAAAAGTTCACTGTTTAATTAATCAGTGAAACATACACTGAACAATAAATACAAGTATTGATCAAGTATTGGTTTGTAGGGATTTTGATTTATTGGTTATAGGATTTCATCATGAGCTGACATTGGTTAGAGAATTCATTGGAACACCTGTAGGGAGTACTGGACAGCTGTTCCATTCTAGTCTGAGACTCATCACCACTAGGCACTCACCGTCCGGGGTTCGTACCTAGGAACTTCTGGTTACAAGATGAGCTCATAGACCATTAAACCATCCAATGTCCTAAATTCTAGCATTTCACGATATAGCGCAACCGCTAACCAATGTCTTCGGCGAGTATTGGTTTCATTTAGTACTCTTTGTGTGAGATTACTTGCATTCCCATTGAGTGACGGTGTCGCCACTGAGACTTGGTCTTGTGAATAATGCTTTGGCGCTTGAAAATATGGATCGTAGTTCAGAGTCTCAATGAGAACCCTATCAGTCATTAGGAATACAGGAACGTCTGTCTGTCTGTCTGTTTTCGACATTGAACGTTGCACAAATGTGCGACAGTTCAAGTCGCCACACTCCGTGTGGCACGCGAAGCACGAGAAGAGAGTACAAGAAAAGCATAATATAAACAGTGAGCAGAGGGGTGAGACAAGGGAGTAATCACGAAGAACAAAACAGTTTCATTGGAGATCATAAGTCACAAGGAGTGGTGGATGCATCTGCGCTAGCCACTGAGAACGATGAGTTTGAGCCATGTCACCAATTGTTTCCAGCCCCCATTGGTTTTTACCGTCCCGAGGACCCCAGCCTGGAAGTCTACACCTTCCTACGTGGCTTAGACCAACTGTTGTGGATTTCATTGACTGATGCCAAGTTTTTGCTTGACCGCCGCTAGCTTTTTTCTAGCCTGACCCTATACAGGAACGTGAGACTAATGAGTCCTAAATAGGGAGTAATGTTCATCCTGGATTCCACTGCCAGTCACCATACACTAAATATCTTGGATTATATATATATATGTTTGTTTACCTATCATAAATTACGAAAAACTTCTTCCTTAACCAATAAATACCATAAATCTGTGAACAGACATTCTACTTAATGTATTCTTGGCTATTGCTGTTGATAATTTGGCTGATACTGGTCAAGTTGAAGAGAAAAAAGATGAAGCAACTGATGATAATGATACAGAACAAGCTGGAGCCGGTAGTACTACAACAACAGCTGGTGGCGGTGGCGGTACGGAAGACGCCGGGAAAATTGGTAGCATTGGTGGCGGTGGAGGCTTAGACGTTAATAAAGACAATAAACCATATGGAATGTTAAACGATCGAAAATTATCCAATAATACAAGTAGTAATCCAGATGGCCAGTTATCAGAAGTACATCATGAATTTAATGATGTTACACAATTATTGGATCAATTGAAGTAAGCGTTCAACATATATATTGTTTTTTGTTTATTTTTTAAACATATATTATTTTTCGTTGTTTAAATGTGTCTCTTACCAATGAGATTGTATTGTCTAGGTTATTTTAATTTGTGATTACCGCCTCAGTGTATGAACTTATTCCGTAAACAGAATCAGGTTACAATTTCATTCCCTTCATATGTTTTTGACGTAAGTATTCATTCGTATGAGATTTATAATTGGGCTGAATAAAATTCAATTTAAGCATTAATTATTAGCATCCAGTAATAATATATTAAGTTTAATGACGGAGTGATATCATTTATAGAACCATTGAGAGCTAGAGTGTTTATGGACAGATGTTTCATCCTTGATTGGGACTCTTCACCACTATGGAACTGTCTGGGTTCGAACCTAGGAGCTCCTGGTTACAAGGCGAGCGCTTAGACCTTTCAGATCCCATGACCCTTGAATTCCAGCATCTGCCAATTCTTAATTCTAGCACTAGACTCAAACTAGAGCAAAACCAAGGTCCATTACTCTCTGGTAGTGGTTTTCAATGGTTCCGTAGCTGTGACATCCATCTTTTATCAAACTTCAAGCCAACTTCAAATCATATCCCTCCTGAAATATTATATATATATATATATATATATATATATATTTACTGCCATTGTTGGCCACTGAACTTTTTAGATCTGAGGTTTAGCTTAATACTGTATTTATTCATATTCACATCCTTTAAAAGTAACTTGTTTTTACTGACATACACCTTTGAGATTTTGTGATCTTAATGATTCGACATCATGAAAAACACAATATTGGTCGACAACCAGCCGGATATCACGTCTACGCCAGAGATAGCTTAAGTTGGTATATGCCAAACGAGTCATCTCTATCCACGCTGAGATTCCATTAGTGATTAACGCGCTGAGGCTGGTCCAGCTTCTCAAATAAATGAAGTGATCAGCTCAGTCTACAAATTAACTCCCTATTTCTAAGCTAGGAGACAGTGTAGTCTATCACATACCAAACATTCTAAGATTACTGGTCAAGGTGTTCAGAAGAATCTGGATTTTGTCAGCGTCTTCACCCAGGGTAGGAGACTATATCATCTGCTTATTCTAATTCAACAAAACTATTCTCTGGTATTAAACCACTTCTTGAGTTAGTGAAGTCAATTAGAGTCAATCCCATTGGTGAATCTACGATGTAATTAGACAGGAACGGGGCATCACTGCCGGATAACACTAATTGTCACCACAATTTTTAGACGACAACTCTCCATGGCCTCTCATCTAGCTGGCTGCATAAGTTCGAGCAGAGTGCCTTAATCATTGCGATGTATTTTCTCGATATTCCCTTCATGGTTAGATATCATCATAGTACCTCTCTGTTGACGGAATGGAATACTGCTTTGAGGTAAGGAAATAAGATAACTATTAGGCTCCGATAATTACGCCTATGTTCCAGACATAAAATTCTTTATACAAAATTTACGATTATGCCTAAGGTTCACTTTATGTGATAACTGGAAATAAATTGAGTTTAGTAGGTAATAATACCATACAACTTTGTGTTTCAAGAAACATAATTCAGAGTGTGTTTAAAATCAACTCAAACGTTTTAGCATAATTTATAATGAACAAAAATTTTCGTTGAAGGAAGTCAAATTGATGTTCATGAATAACCCAGATCTAGTCATTAATGAAAAAGAACAAACCAAATAGTTTAACGAATTCATTTTTTTTAAAGCTATACAATCATACTTATATACTTGAACAAGGCATTAAGAAGACAAATTTCGCGAGATGATATCTTCATTTCGTAGTTTCTTTACAACCGCTTTACAACTAACATGGTTAACAATGATAAAATAAAGTTCATGAAAATTACTCAGTTAAATAAAAAACACAAAAGTACATACTAATGACCAATCATATTTATTTACATAGGTCATGTAGTCCAGTGAAGGCGAAGATTGAAGTCTATTCTGTCTTTTTGTACACACAGTTTAGGCTGTATGTGATTAATGCCCCCAAAGTGCTTCCATCACCTTCAGTAACCAACCTTGAATTAGAGTTATGTGAAATAGTTGTGAAACAGTCATTAGAATTTATATTTTGACCTTACATTAACAAGTGTTTTGCAATGGATGATGCTGGATTTCTATTAAGATTAATCGCGTTGGGATTTTCGGTATGATTTAATGGCCATTTTGGAACATGTTCTTTTCGACGACATTGGAACATTCTGTTAGTTCTACGTATATAGGTGTCACCGCAGCTTCAGGTGAACTTGTAGATACAGTTTGAAGTAGAGTCCACAGAATTTCGTCCTTTAATCGTAGGAACAGGGATCGAAAATGTTCGGCAAGTGAGAAAAAGAGATTTGGCGGCGTAGAATGTGAGTTTGATGGCTGATCGAAGTCTTTGAGTTGTCAACTGCATAATCTGGTCGCCCTTGAATGGTAGATTAATAAAGATGGCTTTCTTTGATACAGAAGCTGTCTTTTCGAGATGTGGTTTTCCTTTACTGTGACAAGTGATAAAGCTCTCCGGATAAACTGTGTGTACAAAAATCAATAGACTTCAATCCTCGCCTACCCTGGACTACATGACCTATGTAAATAAATATGATTGGTCATTAGTATGTACTTTTGTGTTTTTTATTTAACTGAGTAATTTTCATGAACTTTATTTTATCATTGTTAACCATGTTAGTTGTAAAGCGGTTGTAAAGAAACTACGAAATGAAGATATCATCTCGCGAAATTTGTCTTCTTAATGCTTTGTTCAAATTTATCAAAGGGACTAATTGTTTTAACATTTATATACGATTTATTTTTCCTTCAAAAGGGTATTAACAGTAGTGATGAGTAGTCATGAGCATAGTTGGTAGTACTAATCAGTGTGTAAGATGAGCTGAGTAAGTTTATTACATTTATACAATGAGATGAATTCCTTAATGTAATGAGTTGTAGTGAGGATGCATATAGAACTGAAAGAGAGATTGAAATTAAGTAAGCTTTCAAAAGAAATTTAAATAGGTATAAAGACTTAAAAAAAGTAAACAAACAAAGTCAAGTTGATAAAATGCACCAAGCTTGTTACCATTACAACTGGAGAAGACAAAAGACTTGTTAACAGGATTTGATATACACATATGGGGAAATTATCGTCATTTGCACAGATCTTTGTCGTTGTATTACTTCTTTCCTTCATAATGTGTTTTTTCTTTGTCTTCTTTTCGTATCTTCCATATATTTGCCACGCGATTCTGCTTCATTTCCTCTCTTTGATATCAAATCTATTTCTCCGCTGTTTGACATTTTTATCCCGATCAACGCCTCTTTACATACTACTCATAACTCTTGTCAGTAGCACACGTTGCAACATGGTTGTAGAAGTGTCTGAAAAATTTTCTTTTCTTATATTCATATTACTCCTTTTCTGTCAACTAGCACCTTGACTCCTACTGCTTGATAATATCGAGTCATCCATTCAAGAATCTGAAGTGCTAATATTGCACTGGTCATTTCACTCCACAAGATACAGTAATGAAACATCAAAACTGTATGAGAGAAAAATAGGAAAACTGTTAAAAAAACCTAATTTCCAAGAGCTACTTCGTAGAGATTCGATTGGTTTCAAGTTTACTCACTAGCTCACCTTAGTAACAAAACCACTTGAGAACTATATTCATTATAAGATTTCATAGTGTGAAATATTCCAATATATATTATGAATTAAAAGCCAATCTGAATGAAGAATATTCTTATACAAATGGTGGATGGTGGCTAGCAGTGGAATCCAGGATGCGCATTTCGTCCTAATTGGGACTCGTCATCTGGATGTACCTGCATTTCTCAGTGAGTGATGATGTTCCCACCGAGGCTCGAACCCAATCCAATGAAGAATATTCTTTTCAATACATCCTTCTCTTCAGGTTCTTACAATTATAAAATAAAATATTTGTGGTCGTTACAATAAAGGCCAGTTATTCGGCGGCGGATACATTTTTCTTAAACGTAGAATAACAGATTAGTAGTTATGGGGTGTCAAAATAAAAAGTCGTGTTTGTGTGACAAACGTGCTAGTAGGCTGAAATTGATTAGAAAATATTGTAAAACGGGAGACAATGGTGGTGATTAATCATAATAGAATTGTAGAGTGTGGGGTAGGAAAATTGACAAATCAGTTCAAGGTTATCGAAGGTGTCAGATGAGTGGCTAGTAAGAAGTGCTATGTATTAAACAAGAGATAGTAAGACTGCAATGAGAGGTTTATATTGAAATAGCGAGTATGTGAAATGAAACAGGTGGAGGCATATATTGAGAAAAGAGATAATATCACTAGTAATAAGTCCGTACAAATGAAAATTCGATAGTATTAAAGGAATGTTTGCACGAAGGGCATAAATTATGACGAATAATAATAACTGCAATGATAATATTTATAATAATAGGCAAAGAAATAAAACCAAGAGGGTTAAGGTGGAGGAGCAATCTTGATGAGGTAAAGCATCATCAATGCAAGTTTGGTCACGGTAGGAACAGCGTCTGGACGTGTTCATCTTGGATACACAGTTCCGGTTTAGTCGATCTTATTGCAACAGTCTTCGGAAGACTGCGTAGAGAAAGAACTCCAGATCACCCGAGACATTCTAAGCGAGAACGGATATCCAGAGAAGTTCATTAAAGCCAACATAGGTTATAATAGTCGTAAACATGAACTGACAACTGTAGAGAAAAAGCCTTTGATTTTACGTCTCCAATTCAAGGGAGATACTCCTGCGGAGATTCTATCCTAACGTTTAAACAGGGCGATCAAGAAAACTTTCTACTCTGCACGTCTGTGTCTATCCTTTACTAGTCGTCCAATGCTCACCTACCAACTGAAAGATGTCTTGCCTAAACTTAGCTCTTCTTCATGCATATACCATTTCAACTGTTCCTTTGGTTCAAGTTATATAGGGCGCACGATTAGGCAGGTTCGTCTACGGGTTCGAGAACACT